AATTATTAACAAATTTACTTTTTATTTAATTTTTATACATATTATTTAAACTGTTTTTAATTATTTGGTGGGGAACTACACAACAAAGTTTTTATGCATTACCATTTATTATTCATTATTGCGTCGTAAATATACAAACCACGTGGTCAATGTTATTCCTTTTAATTTGTTAAAAATTATTAACCATAAATTTTTAATCCTTATTTTTTAAATAAATATTTTTAGTTTTGTCCATTAAAGTTTTTTAAAATAAAAATTATTTTGGATTAAAAAAACTTTACAGTTTTAAAAATATTTTATTAATAATTAATTAATTCTTTTAAAAATATGTTGAGGTTTCTTTTAGAATATGTTCTTTAAGTTTCGTAAAATTCGGCCATTTACTGATTTTTATTTTCACTTCTAAGTATAATTGCCCAATTTTTTAAATCTATTATTGCAATTAAATATTTTCTGTTACATATTCTTTATTTCAATAGAGAAATCATGAATTTTCTAAAATAAAAGAGATCATTTTTAAATAAAAAACGGATGGAAAATACTGCATTCTTTATTTTTTAAGTTCTTTTACTACATTTGAAAATAAATAGAAAATTATTTTTATTTGAAATATTTTTAAATGAAATTTATTTTTCCTTCCTCAGTGATTGACCTTAATTTAGAAAAAAATTTTAAAAAATTCATTTCCATTAAACATAATTTTCGGTTCATTTATTCTCTAAATTTTTACTGTAAAATTCGGCCATTTACTGATTAAACGCGTAATTTTACCTTTTATTTTTTTTCTTTTCAAATTAAATTTTCTATCAGTTTTTATTTCTCTGCAAAATTCAACTTTGCCCTCAATAAAGTAAAAAGTTTGATTGAAATTAAAAGAATATATTTATTTGTAGAAAATATACTAATTGATAAGGAATGTGGAAAAATAAAAAGGAAATTTTGGGGGTTTCACACAAACTACATTTGGTTTATTTAGGGGTTGTAAAATTTTTTTATCCTTAGCACATTCGAGTCTTTAACTTCTTATTTATTTAATTTTATTAAAAGACTGTCAAATCTCGATTTCTCAATTTAGCTAACCTTGTTTCAGTTCAATAAGGGTTTGAGAATTGATTAAGAAATAGATTGTAAATCGGGGTGGTTGATTTTATTAAATCACTCAAAAGATTTACACAACCTTTAAATATATATTTTTAATTATTAGAACGGCTAAAATTTAAAATTCTTAATTTATTAAAAATTTCTGTTTTTGATTTTAGTATAAATTCTTATTTTGGAGACTTTTATTGATAATAAGTAAATCTCTATTGTTTGTCTTCCCTTTTAAATTTGTCTTCCCTCTTGATTAAAAATATTTGTTTTCGTCATTTACTTTTAAAATTTGGACGAAAATTTTTTTAGAAAACTAAAAAAAATATTTTTAAATTTAAAAAAAACTTTCCAATTTTAAAACAAGTTTTTTAAATTAATATTTATGAAATAAATATTTATTTAAATTAACATTAAATTTTAAAATATTTTTTTAGAAAAAATAATTAAAATAATTTTGTAAAATTATTTTTTATTTTTTTAACTTCTATTTTTGCTTGGTACATTATTCGGACTTTGTACTACTAAAAACAAATTTACTAGAAATGAGTGCCATAATAATACGTAATTTTTTCTCAGAAATTTATTTGTATAAATAATTGTTTTTGTTTTTATTAAAAATATTTTTAAATATCATTATTTTTCTGTAAATATATAAGTATGTATTATTGTATTACTAAAAAATAAATTATTTTTAACCACAATTTATTAATGAAAAAGAAATTTTGGCATGAAAAATTGAAGAGAAAAATAAATAATTTAAATAAAATATAATTCAAAATAATTTTAAAATTTATTATGAGAAACAATCCAAATACTTTATATGTAAATACATCCATATCATTTACAAATCTGCACCCCTCCTTTCCCCCAATATTTCTATTTATAGGTGGAGGACTAAAAATATATTTGTCCTTCACCTTCTTTTTTTTGGTTTTATTATTATTTTACATAAATATTAAAACATTAATATTAAACTTTTGATTTAAATTTACTCAAAACTCAATAAAAAATTTCTAAAAATTATTTTAAGTTGAGCAGAATTTATATTAAAAATTTAAAGTAATTAAACTTTTTTATGCCAGAAGTTTTTTTCTTTTCCATTTCTCGCCCACTAATTTCCACCCTCGCCTTCTCACCTCTGTTGCCCATCAATTTATTCAAATATATTAATCCAAAGAAGTCTAATCCAAATTTGCTATGTTTTTCTAATTTTTTTTAGTTTATGTTTTTTGTTTTTATTTATTTATTTTTAAATATATCCATTCTATTTTTAGTTAAATATATTACTAAAATAACTTTTAATATTTAAACTTTTCCATCAAAAATATTTATATTTATTTTCTAAAATTTATGCGCGCATCCTCATTTTTATTTATTTATTTATCACATTTTAGTGTTCCCCCTCCCCCTCATTATTATAATTCTCTTTTTTAAGGAGAACGAACACTAACCAACCAACTCTCATTCATTTTATCCACGTTTCTGGGGATACCTTTTATTTATATATATTTATTTAAATGTTCAACATAATTAGTTAAATTATTTGTCTGAATAATTAAAAAAAGATTTGACATTTTCTTAATAAAATAAAATAAAAATTATTTTTATTTTACATTAAAAATAGTTTTGGAACTAATTTAAGAAAATATAATAATAAAATTATTTATTTAAATTTATTTCCGGAATTGTTTTATTTTTGTATATTTACCCCTCCATAGATTGAAACAATTATAATTATCCTCACTAATTAATTGTGAATTTACTGTATATTCCAAAGAAGATTTTCTTAGTAAATACATTTAAACGTTAATTTTCTTTTAAAATTTGTTTACTTTTTAACAGAGAAACCTTTTTAAGTGTGAGTTATTAATTGAAGAATATTTGCGATTAACATTTAATTTATTTTATATTTGATTTTTAATATTTTTTAAAAATTTCTATACATAAATCTCTCTAAGGAAGACCTTCAAAAATGTTTTTTGTTTATTTTTTCTTCCTTTAAAGGATAAATTATTTAATTAAAATTGAATAATTATTTAATTCCAATTTTAATTTATAATTTTTTTATTTATTTTGCTCTAAAGCAGAAACCTTTTTAAAAATATTTTCAGGCTTCTTTCTGTTTTTTTTTCTAAATTTCTCCTTTTAAATTTAATATCGTTAAAAAGATATACCTATGTATTTTCTACACTTTTAAATATTTACTTTTTGAGAATACCCTTTTTAAAATAAATTGTAATTTCAATTATTTTTAATTTTTATAAAAGGAATTTTCCTACCCTATTATCCTTATCTTGGATACTTTGTACCTTTTTCTTAAATTTAGTTGAGTAATCCATATCCAAAGAACACCCACTAATTTTAATTATTAAAAATCTTCTTTAAATGATTCATTTTCCTTATAAACCCCTCTTAAATAGAAAAACTCCAAAAATAATTTACTAAATATTTTCTTTAATCCAAATTGTTTTTATTTTTAAAAATTTATTTTTAAAAAGATTAATAAATTAAAGCTCTTTCATTAAATTCCTACAAAGATACGCTATTTAAATACGTAGATATATTTTTAAAAGGAATCCTCTCCTCCTCCTCATTTTTGGTTAATTTTGTTCACTTGTTTCTTTCTTTTTTTTAAATTCTATTTTTATTTTTTTTTAAAAATGTTTTTTGATTATAATTCTTTTTAAAAATAATATTTTTGGAGGAAAAATAAAAACAAAAAGAATATATTCCGGAAAGGAAAATACCCCTTTTTTTAAATAATTTTTTGCTAAAAAAGGTATTTTTCCCCAAAATTTTTTTAAATTTTTTTCTTCTTTTTCTTCGTCATTCAACTCGTCATTTATGTGCTTTTAATTAATTGGGAAAAAATATTTTAGATTTAAGGTAAAGGTTATTTAATATTACGCCAATTATTTTTATATTTTCCAGAAATAAAAATAATTATTTGTTTGGGGAATTGTTTTTAGGGAGAAGGGGGGGCTTTTCACTCCCCCAATTTTTCTAGGTAAAAATAACTACGTCCTTTTGGCAATATTCTCAAAATAATTGTGTCATTGTTAATTATTTATTTTTTCCCAAAAAACTTACCTAAAATATATCCAATTTCATACGCCCATTTCATTTTTAAACTCAAATCTCTCTCCTTTTAAACGTCATTTACTATTCCGGAAAAAACAGAAAAAAGAAGTGATTTAATGAGAAGAAACCGCACAATTTCACTAAAAAACTAGCTTTTATTTTATAAAAAAGCGAACGTAAATTTTTCTTTTGATCAAATGATTTATATAAAAATTGTAATATTCTTCCCCCGTTGTTCCAGTGAGAAAATTTTTTTTTCTAAAAACTAAAAACGTTTTTACTTAAATGGCGTCAATGGGGCCGCACCCGAATTCTTCTTTTCCCTTTCATTTAAAAAAGAAAAAATAATTAGAAAAAAATTTTTGGGTTATAAAACACTGTATAATATGCACATGTTTGGGTAATTTTAAAATAAACTTGAATTATTCCTTTTTCTTTTCGATTTTGTTTAACTTTAAAGTGCGAAACCTTTGATATAAAACAATTTTATAAAGCAGAGATTCTTCGGATTTTCGTAAAGGAACTTCTGAAGGGGATGGAATTTTTGGTTACATAAAGAGAGAAAAAAAGAATATTTCTTCGAAAATTTTTTACTAAAAATTATTTTCTACTAAATATTTATATTTATACCATTTAACTTTAAAATAATTAATAAAACCTTATTAAAATTCTCTGGATTTTAACCAATAAAAAATATTATTTCAAAGCACTACTTTCAAATTTCTTCACCTTAATTTTAGCTATCTATTTTAGCCCCTACACCCCCCCCCCTCTCTTGATTAAATTTTTTTCTTTTCAATTTAATATTTTTATTTTATTCAGATAAATCAAAAAACCCTTTTTTTAATATTTTTATTAAATTAAATACATATTCAAAAATTAAAAAAATGACTCAAAATACAAAAAACAATGAACAGAGGAATCAATTAAGAGAAACACAAAACAAAGAACAAAGACATTCATCACAACAACTGCAACAAACAAATAATTTCCGAGTGCAACAACAACAACATCAACGGCAAACTCGATTGTTTGCAAATATTTTAAGCAACACATTTTTCGTCAAATTCCAATTGATCTCATTTTTCTTGATTTATTCAATATCTCCTTCTTTCTCATTTATTATTCCACACACAAAACATGGTAAAAGAATTATAAAAAAAATTATAAAAAATTATTTCACAAATTTTCAGATTTGTTGATTTACAATTCGGGATCAGAAAGTGATTCCTCTTCAGCTTTGTATAATGATATCGTTGCTTCTCTTGAAGATGATAATAGCAATTCGTTAAAATTGCACGGAAGTAAGTCATTTTATCGTAAGAAAATAATTGTCAAAAAGAATATCAAATCAAGGCATTGAAATTGGTTCACCTTCAGAATTCTCTGATAGCGAGAATTGGAATTTTTTCGAAGTGTATTTCGATCGAATTCAAGTCCAGTCTCCTGTTACTTAGTTTGCATTTTCTCTCATTTTACCGTAACCCCCCCTCTCTTTGTTTACCTAAATTAACTTTCCTCTAAGAAATTATTATTAATTTTATTTTTCTTAGCTGATTTGCTTGTTTTGCATTCATCATTAAAGCATGTACGAAAATTGGGTGATTGTGTAGAAATAACTGATCGTAATGCAACACTTTTAAAGTCTATAAGTAAGTTATAAATATTCAAAATTATGAAGGACTTTTTAATAAAAAAAATATTTTTAAGGCCGTGCATCAGACACTCTTGTAGACTTAAAAGATCAACATTTTAATATTCATTATTGTGCAAATTTAGAAAATGATGGGCAACAGAAATGTGGAGAAAAGTCTGTTTGTGGGACTATTTATCGTAAGAAAATAATTGTCAAAAAAATTTATATTTTAAATCTTTTTTAAAGGTTGGAAAAAGGCAATGGTCCGTTTAACCTCCTCTTCTCTCTCAGCAGTTACAGGGGAGGATTTACCTGAAATTTTTCTTCAAGAACAAGTTCTTGTGCCGAGTGGATGTTCTTGTTTAATAAACGCTGCTAACACGAAATTTGCTAAAATTCCTGTAATTATTGAGTCTTAAATGAAGAAAAAAAAGAAAAATAAAAATGAGGATAGGCAAAAAAGATATATAAAATATATCAAAGAAGAAAACTAAAAAAATTAATTTTTTATGTTTTTGTCAATGATTTTCCATTTTTATTACAAATTGAATCTCGTTTTTCTCTTTCTCCTATTTTATTTTTTATATATTAAAAGCTCTAATTTTTAATTAGAAAAATGTATTTTTGATTTTTAATTTTCTCACATGTTTTGGGGATCTAATACAGTCGATTTCGTTATACTCTGGAAATACAAGAAAATGTTTGGGTACACTATCACCCCCCCCTCCCACCCTTCAAATGACCAACCTCATTATAAAGCAGATACTAAACGCTTTGTATACTTTGGGTGTACATATTATAACGAGATTTGACTATATTTCCTTTTAGTTTTTGAATGGTTGTGTTATGATTGCAAAGTTTTTCAAATTTCTAACACTTATTTCAAATTTAAAATTTTCCATATTTTCCCAGATTTTCCCTTCTCGTGTACAAAAAAGTTATTAGAGCTTTTACAAGTATCCTCTTTTTTTAATTATTTTTTTAAACTTTATTTAGTATTTTTTCTCCTTCATTCTCTTTCTTTAAATCTTCACTAGAATTCCACCAATTATTTCCATCTTCGTTTTACCCTAAAGTACACAGACAAACAATGATCCATAATAAACATTTTTTGGTTAAATTAATTAGTTTATTTAGAATTTGTGTATATTTAAAAATAGGTTTGCTTTTGATTTTATAATTAAAAGCTTAGTTTGCCGATTTGATCAATTATTGGAGAGATTATTGGGGAATTTAAGAGTTGGAGATATTTAGAATAGCTGATTCTAATGTGTAAAAAATCAAAGCTTTGAAATTATTTGACCAAAGGATCTTAAAAGATTTCTCCTCAAAGAGGAGACTGGCGAATACTCGCTTTAATGTTTCGCCTTTCACTTTTTAAAATCAATGGATAAAAATAACAAATTTATAGTCAGACAAAACAATACATACAATTAATGGTGAATATTTAAGTAATATACAACAATTTACATAGTTATGTGAATATTAGATCTCTCATTCTATCAACTATTCTTCATTATCCCTCATCTCAACGAGAAGAAGCGGTGACCAAACTAGCTGCACGTTGCGTATCCAATTCTGTGCGAAGTTGCACTTCCTGTTCTCGAACCTCGTCCCAAGTCAGCCCAAACCAGCTGTCAATAGAAGTGAAGATTTGCTGGTGGAATTTGGCGTTGATTTTGCGGTGTTCCTGAAAAAAAAATAAAAATATTTATTTTGATTTTAGAATATATATTCTTTGATTTTTCTAAAACAATCCTCAAAACTCACAAGCTCGACTAGTTTTTCAGCTCCCGGAAAGTGTGTCCTAACATTCACTGTCACAACTTTGTAGACGCACATGCAGGGCTTACATTTCTCTTGCCAGTTGCCGACCAGAGGCCCTCTTTTTGCGCGTTTGGAACGAAACTGAAATTTGAAAAAAAATTTATTTTTCAAAGATATAAGCATTCTCACATTAGTATTGTCCTCCCCAATGTTCATTTTGACGATTTCACGGCGCTTCAGCATATCACTGCCCAGTCCCAAAGCCTGTAAAAATGGTGAGTTTAGAGTTAATGTGAAAAATGTCTAATAACAAACATTTTCATCCTTTCCTCTATTGTTGTCCAAACAAAGTGTCTCGAATCGGATGCTGAACTTTTCCCGATTTTCGTCCCATTCAGGAGCGTAGAGTTCCGTCAGTAGATATGGAAAGCTGTTCCAACTATGCTCGTGAATCCGGGTGAGGCCGTTTGGTACAAAAGGTCGGACAAATGATGGAATTTTACTGAAAAAGAAAAAGAGAAGACTTGAGCTTTCGAGTAAATTTTTTAAAAATAAACTTACGATCTCAGGTGGTAGATTTTGTGGGTGAACTGCCCTTCATTGTAGCGCCCGTGACAAAGTGGAATGTTGTCGAATGGCTCGTCTTGCAAGATTTCCACTCCTTCTCCTTTGTGTGTTTGCTAAAAATAATGAGAAGAGTTTAGTTTTGAACAACAGAAAGTAAAAATAAAATTTTACTTTTCGAGCCGTCTCCATGTAGGCAAACGCCCGTCCAATCTGGAACTCTGCTGTAGTCATAGGCATCACTATCCTGTACTCGCGAACAAGCATTGCGGCTGGCGATTGAAGTGTAGACGAGCAGGCGAACACTGAGCAGGCGCACACTGAAGTAGGTGAGCAGGCAAACACTGAGCAGGCGAACACTGAAGGTAGCAGACAATGAGCACAAACCCCAACAGAGGTGTTTTGTGAGAGCGTTAATCCTTTCAAGTTTGTAAGGCTTTTATACTCTAGAAAATTTTGAAAAAAATTAATTTACAACGGAATCCAATTTTAAATTTTTTATTTGGCGCGCTCCTAGTTTTGTAAAATTTCTAATTATAATTCTAAAACAATAAAAACAAAAAAGAAATAAAGTTAAAGATTTAAGTTTTATCAAGTTTAACCCGATGTCCACAAAAGTCATTCTGCAAAAATACATTTTTGCTACCCCTGAACAAAAATGGAAGGTTTTGTTAGACTGGAGGTTTTTGTTCAAAGATATTTAATCCATTGTATTAAATATTAGATACACTCCAATTTATTTCAAGATTACGGGTGGCTCTTATTCCATCCAACTCCATCTTCTACTTGTATGTACATCCCTGGTATCCCTCTTAACTCCCGAATCATTTATCCTCTCCGAGAAACCTGGCTTCTTGGTCAAATTTTTAACTTATCGGAAACCTGATCCGAAGAAAATTTTGTAATCCTACCCGAAACCTGACCCGTCTTTTTTCTCAATCTGTGACAGCCTTGGTATATACATACATGTATAACTGTAATTCTAATTATTTTACCCTTTATTAATTATTTTCTTAAAAATTATTTTTAAATTATATATCAGCCTCAATAATTTTCATTGTAAGAAACTATTTGAATTGTTAAAATATTTTTTTATTTATCCAAAAAAATATCTAGTTTCTTCCATTCTCGTCACTTTTCATCATTTCCGTTCATTGCAAATGAAGCTGAAATACTTAAATAAAAAATTGTCAAACAAATATTTTTAACCCCTTTTTTGCCAATTTTTAAGTATATTTTTAATGTCCTGCCAGTTACTTTTTCTCTATTTCAGACATTTGATATATTTATTTATTTAAATTCTCTCTCACACCCACAGATGAATTTTTTGACATTTTTTGTTCCTCATTAAAGTACTCAAAAATTATTTAAAAATTTATATTTTAACTTTTTTTAAGTTCTCCCATGTGTACTTTTGTTGAGTAAATTAATTATATGTGAAAATAAATAAATATAAAATACAAAAAAAATTGGCAGTCTTTTGTCTGGCATTTGTCTCGACTAAACAAAATATTTATTTTGTTTACGTCAACTCCCTTTATGGTCTATATATTTTCACATTATTGCCAGACTTTTATTTAGATATTTTTTTTTAATTTTAATTATTTGTCTGATATTTTTTTTACTTAAATTAAAACAAAAAAATTGTTATTAATATTAGCTTTATTTTTATAAGTGGTACCACTATATCTATTTAACAGGAAATTATAAATCGCTTCTGAAATGAATCAAATTTCGTTTTCTTAGTTCGAATTAGGCACTAGACAAACAAAAGATTAATTTAATTTTTATTCCCGTTTTCACAAAGATAAAAGTGAAACTTGATTCCAAAAATTCCATGGCGATAAGTGTTAGAACCTATGATCCGATTTTTTCCAACATTGGCATAGGTCTTAATTTCTTAAGCTGATGACTTGCGATAAAAAACGGAATAAAAATTAATTCTTTTTAATTGTTTGTTTTCCAAAGACAAATAAAGGGAATTTTGTGAGGAAAAAGTGGGCACGTAAACGGCCAGAAATCTCTTCTTACATAGGCAAAACTCGGTCAAAGGGGTGACTTTATAACAGAGGTCCTATTGACGTAAATAATAAATTCATAATTTCGAGAATCGGGTCAGAATGATTATTGTTTTATATAAAGATTTCACTTAATTAATACAAATATAATTTAACAAATATAATTCAATATAATTTAATACAAATATAATTTAACTATTTTATATTTAATATAATTAACTTACAAATATAATTTAACAAATGTTTATTAAATTTAAATAATCTACTATTTAACTTCTTTTCAAATTTATTTTTGTACTTAATCCCCAAAAATTTTTCTAAAATTATTTTATTACATTTTATTAAATATATTGTAATTTTTTGTTGACGTTTTTCTCGGCAAACTAGTAGATAAGAATGTTAAAAATGAACTTTTCATTTACTTGAAACACGTCCTTCCTTGCACAAAAATAGAGAAAGGAATTTGCGCAACAATGTCTGTGCACATTAATCAAAATTAGGATCATTCTTCGTCATCACTAGATTCTTTCGAAATTTTTTAGAAGCTCAATTAAATATTTATATAAATAAAAATTTATTTTTATTTTTTCTCATTTTATTTTTTTAATATTCAACTTTGACACACATTCCTAACAGACAATAAAATACAGAGCGATTATCGGGTGTGCTATATTTTTTAAGGTTATTTTAGATATTAAATCTATTAGGTTTATTAATCGAATAATTATGAAAATTAGGTTTCTTGATTAAAAATTAAAAAATTATTTTCTCCATCATTAAATTTCATAGATATAATTGTACATAAACCTGTTAATAAATAGCATCATTTTACAAAAATATCTTTTTTGTACTTTTATCGTTAAAATTAAATATCATTTTAATTTCATCCCACGTTTTTTTAATTTTAATTATTTTTAACCAATTAAATTTATTTGCATTTCCCTGCTTTTCCAAATTAGTAATAAAAAGAGAACTTTTAAAAAAATGAATATCTATATCATTCCAAAAATAATTTCAAGCTCAAGTTCTAACCGGAAATCGAGCTACCTAATTTATAATTAGCAATATTTCCCAATTCCCCTATCCAAGTTAGCATCATAATAACCTATTTTAAAAAAAGATTAGAGATATGTCTGATAATTGTTTAAATTTCTTTTATTTTTAAATATTTTCCAAGAATTAATTCTACTATAAACTTTTTGTCATTTAATTTATTAACAAATAAATACTTCCACAATCTAAAATAGATGAATATTTTTTATTTTTAAATAATTTTTGGAAAATCCCATTATTTATTAAATAAATCCAAAAAAAGTCTTTTGTTTGTTCTTTTTTTGGTCTGATAAATTGACAGAAAAAATATACATTTATTAAAAATATTAAATTAAGTGATATATCCAAACGTCATTTTAAATAGTTTAAAAAGGATATATTAATTAATTAATGTCCTAATTTGGCAGATAAATAGTTTAATATTTATTTATATTGTTTAAACCTTCCTTCCTCTCTAAATTATTTCTCTGAATTTAAAATTAATTTATTATAAATATATTTTTGAAAAAAAATATGTGGAAGAATTCCAAAAAAAATTATTTTTACAAAAAAACAATAAAATTAAAGATGAAAATAAGCCTTGAAATTTATTTAAAATTCTTTCAATTTTTAGCAATGTCCACTCAACATTTATTTCTTTTCTTTCATCAATCTCTCAAAACAAAGCTAATTTTTATCAAAAAATAAACGAATCTTAAAAGGGCGTGAAGAAAATTAAAAAGAAGCCGGGAAGGTGCAATGTACACGAATAAATAGAGGGAGGGGGAGTATATTCCTTCCTTTAATTTCTTTCATCAATCTTATTAAACAGACATTATCAAAAAAATTTTTGATTAAAAAAATATTGTAAAAATTCCAGTGTGCTTTTGTACTTTCTTTAAAATTCTTTAAAACTGCTTTTGAAAAATATTTTTCTTTACGATTTAAAATTAAGTCGAGTAGGAAATTTAAAAAACGCTTAATATATTCTCAATTAAGCTTTTCACTACAAAAAAATTTTTCCCCAATTTTTTTTAATTTTTAAAAGTAAAATACGTATATTTCCTATTTTTTCTTCTTCATTTATGTCTGGGTAAAAAGGATGAAAAGTTTTCTTAAAATTTGTCTGTCTGTGTTTGGAGTAGTTGTTGTCGCTGACACCCTTTTTCAGACAAAATAAAAGCCAAAAAAATAAGAGAAAATTAGGGGGAAGTGTCTGTGAAAGAGTATTTTTATTTTATTAATGGACATTACAATTTTAATAACATCATTCTTTTCTTTTATTAAAAAAGAATAAAAATATGAACGAGCAAAGTACGTTGCTGTATATATTATACGGAATCTGAGCGCGAATTGCGCATCCCCCCCCCCTTTCCCCAAAAACCTTCCAGACGGCCGGTCTGTTTGGAAAAGAATTGTTTGGAAGAAGAAGAGTCATTTGTCGCCTTTTTTCCCCTCTGATTTTCCCTTATTTTTCCTCTCCAAAAAATATCACCACAAAACACCCTTCCATTAATTTATGCTATTTTCTGGCTTTTAAAAGCAGCCACTATTTGAGCAAAAATTGTCTTTTATTATTAATATATTAATTTTCTGTGTGGTCTTCCTTTCTTCTACATATTTTAAAAATATGTATGCTTTCTTTCCCCTTCCATTTTATTTTTTCTAGATTTTAATTTTTACTATTTGATTAATTTTTAAAAAACATTAAAAGTAAGTAGTACTGACACGGCAAAGCACGTTATTACAGTAAAATTGCCATCTTTAAATAATACCTCAATTATACATAATTTTCCTAATTTTTAAGTTATTTAAATTCGAAATTATGTTAGTCAGAGTTTGAGTATTTTTTGTACTCTTTAGGTATATTCCTTGACACTAGTGATCGAGCTGTATCTGGACCAAGGCCTGGGGTTTCCCTGTACCATGAGTCCAGGCCCAGACATTTTTTGGCCTTCCTGGCTTTTTCCTGGACTACAGGCCCAGGATCCTTCCCAGATCAATAAATCAAACCCGGAACCCAGGAACAGGCCCAGGCTTTTCAAAAATCTCGATCACTACTTGACACCTTTTTTAAATCCTTTTAGATTTTTATTAAATACAATCAAAGCTTTATTAAAAATTTTTTAATTTTTCAGCTTTATTTAAAGTACTATACATAAAAACTACTAATTCTATACAAAAATTCTTGAATTAAAAATAGAAACATATATTTATATTTGGAATTGTTTCTTCTCTAATAATTCACATGGCCTTCTCGTGCAAATCAGCTGTTTGCAGAGATCGCCATTCAACTTTCGAGACTACTAAAAAACCTTCATTATCGGCAATTTTCGGCTCCTCCTCCAGTTTTTGCTTATTGGCTATTTTTATTCTTCCTTTTTTATTGTTTTCTTCCGAAAGTGCGTCAGCAGCGACAATTTCGCCGATAACAGGTGAAGAAACGGAAATGAGGCACCAACAACAAAATCACCAACGACGGCAACAAAATAATGATGATGAAGATGATGGTCGGGCTGTGGGGACTGGAAGAAAATGTGAGATCAAAGTCCATATTGTAAGTTTTAATTAAAAAAAGAGGATTTTTGGAAGAGGGAAGTAAGTAACACAAAAAGATACATAAAAATATTATCTTCAAAAGAAGATTAACCTTTTCTAGAAAGATTTCTTTACTTCCTTTCCTTAATCAGCTATCCTTTGAGAAGCTTGAGGAGGATAATTATTTTTTAAAAAGAAAGTTTTGAATTGGCAAAAATATGTAATAAATACGAAAACAAAAATATACTCTTAAATAACATTAAACAAAATTAAATGCCTTTACTTGGCATTAAAAATAAAAAGAATATTCAAAAACACTCTAAAATAAAGCTTGGAATTTAAATAATATTTTTAAAAATAAAAGAAAAACTTTTGTTCTTTAAGGTAAAACACGTTAGAGGGGAGTGTGTCCGTCTTTTTGGCGGAAAGCCAGCGTGTCAGTCAGAAGAATATGTAGATCCGGAAAGTGAACAATGTCGAAATGAAGAACCTATATTTCTTCGAAAATAAATTTAAAAACTTTTTTTCTTTTTATTAAACACTTTCATTTACTTATTATTTTTCCGCCCATTTTTCTTTCTTTATTTTTTCTTTGTTTTTACTGACCTCTATTCTCTATACATTTTTCTTTTAAAAAATTCTTTCCTTTTTTCTTTTAACCTGCATAAACTTTTTTTTGAAATTTTTTTGAAAAATTTGAGGTTTTGTTTAAAAACAAAAATTAATCTTTTTTAAATATTTGACCCTTAAAAACGTCATTAAGTCGTCATTTTTTACAAATGACTGCGTCAATGTTTTGGCAATAACAGGAAGAATTAAATAAATTTTAAAAAATAACAGATTCAATTTAATCCGAACATTTGGCTTTTTAAATAAATTTACGTTTTTTAAAGTTTCATAAAATTATTTTTTTAGATTTTGTTGTCATTTTTTAAAGTTTTATACATATTAAATTTCAATTAAATTTAATCAAATATTCAGAAAAAATTTCTAATTATTCTAAAAATAATTTTTTAAAATACCTATATTAAATTTTATAAAAATATTTACTAATCAAAAATAAATTACAAAAATATTTTTCCTTTTTGCTTTTCCTCTCTGAAAGTTATTTTTGATTTAAAGTTACTAAAAATTAAATTAAATTTACCTTTTTGTAAGTAAAATTTTTTGAGTTTTTCGCACTGAATTTTGTTGGAGTTGGGATGTGACTTAATCAAATAATTTGGCAATCTTAATTGAAATTTGTCGTTTATTTAAAGGAATTAAGAATATAAAATAATATAGGTTACTTCATATGTAACACATCCCAACAACAATTTCAACATTCAATCCCGAATAATTCTCCACTTTCCCCATAAAAAACATATTATGGATAAAGCATAATTCAACAATAAATATTAAAAATAACACCAAAAATTAATTAAACAATTACTAACCCTTTTATTTTTTAATTTTTTAAAAATACTCAAAAATCTTTTTTTGAACTTTCTTTCCTTTTAAATATATCCTTCTAATCTGTGAAAGTGTTTACAAGTATGTTTATATGTTAAAAAGATTAAATATATCCTCAAATCTAATGTTTTCTTCTTAATATTTTTGTTTATTTTGTACTTAAAATAATTAGAAAAAAATATTTTTGTAACATTTTCCCATATATTAATTCGAATAAATTGTTTTTATTTACTGTTATCAGTTTAAGTGAAAAACGTCAAAAAAATTTTTACTTTCAATTTAGTCTAATAAGAGTGCAAAGTAACAACAAAAATATTTGAGATTACTGTAAATATTTAATTCACTAATTTACTTAGTAAATACAGTATCCTCTTTATTTTAATTTAAAATTCTTTACAAATCTGCCTAATTTAATCTGATATTTTTAATTTTGCAAATCTGTATTGACCAAAAGAAGTTGAGAATGGAGACCGGACTGGGAGTGTCTAAGAGAAGCTCGAAAAATCTCTTATCTCGATAACTGAGATTTTGATGATTTCGTCTCGATCTGTTTTTTAGTTCAGAATTCCCATTTCCGATTTTTTGAACCAATTTTTGATATTTACTTCTTTGTAAAATTATCCATAAATTTGTCCCTTCTTAAATTTTTCCATAAATCTGACCTTTTTTAAATTTTGATTCAAAATAAATTATTTAAGTCTTCGTTCTCAACATTATTGTGGTGGTTGATATTATTCTCCTCTTTTAGTCCCATAAATCTGCTTATTATCATCTCTACTTACAGTAGTCGACATAAAGATAGGGACAAGAGTAATTTAAATGTAAATTAACTATTTTTCAGTCAAAAAATACGTTCTATATATCAATCGAAAGCTCTATTCGTATCTCAGTTGACATGTTTCTGCATTTTTCATGAAAATGAAAATTGGCCGAGATAATCCGGATCTACCGGATATACCAAATCCCATAGCCTCGGAAAAAATTTTCGGAAAAAATCTAACAAACCCATTTGATAAAGCATATTTTTGTGAGTAGTTACCAAAAAACAGCTTAGAAATATCTTTTTCCGGGACGGAGATATGATTTTTTGAAAATGGCATTTTTCGCTTAAAAATTCAATTTTTTGCAAAAATAGACGAAAAATGCCATTTTCAAAAAATCATATCTCTGGACCGGAAAAAGATATTTCTAAGCGGTTTTGTGGTAAATACTCACAAAAATATGCTTTATCAACTGGGTTTGTTAAATTTTTTCCGAAAATTTTTTCCGAGGCTATGGGATTTGGTATATCCGGTAGATCCGGATTATCTCGGCCAATTTTCATTTTCATGAAAAATGCAAAAACATGTCAACTGAGATACGAATAGAGCTTTCGATTGATATATAGAACGTATTTTTTGACTGAAAAATAGTTAATTTACATTTAAATTACTCTTGTCCCTATCTTTATGTCGACGACTGTATTTAATGTTAAAAATATTTATATTTCATAAATCCTTTCTTAAAAGCCAAAAGTTTATTCATAAATTTACTAACTTCATTTATTTTTTGTCAGGAGACTGTTAATATTTTGATATTCTAAATAAAAAAGGATTTATTCGTTAATTGCAGTACACTAATTCACCCCTAATTTTATTTTATTTTTAAAATATATCTCTTTAATAATTGCTTAAAAAGGGCTTAGTAATCCCTTAAAAAATAAAAATGAGAATAACAATTTTATTTTGAAAACTTAATGAAGGTCTAAAATATTTAATAAGCTTAAAATCGAAAATAAAAACAGAGAAATCTGTAAAAAATTATTTTAAAAATTTTATTTTTCTTTATTTTAATTAATTATTTTGTAATTTTTCTGAGAAAAAAAAAGAAAAATTTACCGAAAACGCTTAGTAGAGATAGATGTTTTTGTATGTTTATTTTATTTATTAAACTTTACATAAAAATAAAGAACCGAAGTGAGACGAAATCTCGAACATAAGATTGAGTCTTTTTGAGATATCTCATACGAGACTACCCGTCTGGTCTCTAATTAAAATAAATAATTTTCAAATTTTCTACTAAATTCTAAAATTATTTTCTTTTCAATAATAATTTTTGTTTTTATCATTCCAATTTGTTACTTCTTTTTTAAATTATTCTTGGAACAACCACAATAAATTTATTTTGTGAAATAATTACCCCAATTATTTTAAAATAATTATTTAACATTTATTTATTTACTTGGAATTGTTTAGTATTTTTATTTTTAATTTAAATACCAACAAATAATTTTTGAAAGTACTTTAATTTAATAGTACATTTTTAAAAAGAATTTTTTGTCACATCATTTTCACCTCCTTTTTTACTCAATTTGAACCAAATATTTTTTTCTTCATTTACTCAATTTGTTTTTTTTTCACTCCAAATCCTTTTAAAGGATTACCAGACAGCTTTTTATTTCTGTTGCCACATTTATTCTTTTTTTTGTGTGGTTGTTTTTATGTTTGTGACCTTTTCTCAAAAATTCTTTTTTTGTCCTTTTTTGGCATTTAAAGTAAATACATCCATTAGTCACTCAATCCTTTTTTTAATAAAAAAGGTGTTAATTAATTAAAAGAAAAGAAAATATTTTTTCTGAATTTTTAACAAAATTTAGAAAAAATAAAGAAAATCTTTAGAATTTAATCAAATTTTTGGCGTAGTTTGACTGATCTCTGAATAAAAAATTTTTTGTTTGACAGAATAATTAATTGTCAAATTGTTGGAATCAAAAGAAAATATTAAAACAAAAATACTTGAACAATACAAACAAAAAAATTAATTTTAATAATTAATCAAACACCAAATTTATTTATTTAAAATTTTGCAAAAATTAAAAATTACAAAAATAATTTTGATTTTTAATTTTTGATATTTTTGAAATAAAATTTATATATCTATAGTTTGTTTCAACCACAGTTTCTGACATTTAAATATTTTTATTTATTTTTTATGTCAAACCAAAAATTATTTTTTAAATACCTATAAAAGAATATTTTTGTATTTATTTTTTGGCACTTCCTTTATTTATACCGGGAATTTATTAAATATCAAAACACACATTTTTTGTTTTTATTTTTGTAATTGCATGTTATTTATTTAATGAATAATTATTTTGGACAGAAAAAAGTTTATAAAAAAATATATGGTAAAAAAACTAATAATTATTTTTGACTAATTTTTTTAAAATAAAGTTTGGACTCTTGACATTTTATTAAGACAAAAGAAAGAATATTTTTTAATAAAATAAAATATTTCAGAAAAAATAATTAAATAAAAGAGTAATGGATATAGGTATATCTTTGATACGTAGGTCAATCAGTAGAAAGTTTTGTATTCTCAATTTCCAATTTCATTTGGATTATTTTAAATATTTTCGGAGTTTTATTAAGTTATTACAAATTTAAGGCGAAAAACTTAGTAAAAAGTTTTTTTTGGAATTTTTATATGAGTTTCAAATCTTGAAGTTTTGTGTATTTACAATAGGGATTTGAATGTAGGTTGAAGTTAATTGTGGGGAAGAATTAAAACAGGCAATTAAAATACAATGGAAAAAAAAGAAATACTAAATGTTTATTTATAATTCATTTGACAGAAAAATAGAACAAATTAACTAATTAACTCTACTTTTTAATTATTTTCTGATTAATACAAAACAACATCAAAATAATAAATAATATATCACTAAATTATTTTATGTATATTGGACAGTTATGTAGATTATTCCAACCCTAATTCTAATATTTTTAATTATTTTTGTTTAATCATTTAATAATTTAAAATTATTTTATTATAAAAATAGGGGAAAATAAATACAAAATAAAAATAAATTGATAGAAAATATATTCTCATTTATTTTTTTTATGAAATTTCTATAAATATTTTTTAATGAAATATAGGTATTAGAGCCCGGACTGATACATATTTTTTCGATATTTTAAAAAAATACCGACCGACTCTTCTGGCCGGGCTCTAATTCTGGTCTGGCTTAGCCGAGGGGTTCTATATAAATTTTTTTATTTTTTACATTGCGAATAGAC